TTTAATTTGTCCAGTAAGGTTTTAACAGAGGCCCAAAGTTCAGTTCTGAATAAGGGATTAAAATTTGTCCCGACTAAAGAACTAGACAGATTTGAGATGTATGTTGATTTGAACAAATTTAAGAGACAGTTATGTCTGAAAAAATGTTTTGTGAGGAATGATAGACATCTCAATGAAGAGACTATTCAATCTGAGTTCGTACATACGGCACTCAAGGAAAAATCTGTCTTTTTTCCGCATAATTTCATTTCTGATGAAATGATAAGCTTTGAAAAGGCAGTTATGCAGGAAATTAACAATATTAAGACTAAAACCAGTAATAGGAATTTAAACAAAAAAGAGTGGTTAGCTCTGAAGGAATTGCAAAAAGATCAAAACATAGTGATCAAACCTGCGGACAAGGGGGGGGGGATAGTTGTGATGGATGTAGATAAATATCTCCAGGAGGGTCTGAGATTGGTGGGAGATACAACTACCTATCTCCGACTCCCTGGCAATCCATCACAAGAGATTGAAACCAAATTCAGGAGTTTCTTTGGGGCTGGTAGAGACAAAGGGATCCTTAATGATCAAGAATATAGTTATTTAAACATCCAACATCCAAGAGTCCCAGTGCTCTACCACCTCCCAAAGATCCACAAACATCCTGTTGCCCCACCAGGACGTCCGATAGTCTCTGGAATCAATTCAATTTCCAGTAGACTATCGGAGTATATAGACCACTGCCTCCAACCCCTTGTCCAACAAACCCCAAGTCACCTCAAGGACACCATAACCATACTTCAGACTCTACGAGATGTGACCTGGAAGGAGAGCTACATATTAGTTACGGCTGATGTGAGCTCTCTTTACACGGTTATTCCTCATAATAGAGGAGAGGAGGCAGTAAGATTCCACTTAGAACAGTCTGAATTGTACCATCAAGATCAAATAGATTTTATTATTCAAGGCATACACCTTATATTATGTAACAACTTTTTCTGGTTTTCCAACGACTTTTATTTACAAATAGTCGGTACGGCGATGGGAACGAGGTTTGCACCCAGTTATGCGAATCTTTTTATGGCTCTATGGGAGCATGTTTTTATTTTGGATAACGCGGACTGGAGTGCAAACCTCGTTTCCTATCGTCGTTACATAGACGATATTTTCTTTATTTGGGACGGTCCAGAGGAGACTCTTCAACTGTTTCTGGGATATTTAAATTTTAATAATTGGGGAATCAATTTGGTAGCAGAGTACAGTAGACAGAGTGTGAATTTTTTGGATTTGACAATTTACATCGAAGAAGACATTATAAAAACAAAAACCCACTTCAAGTTGGTAGATGTAAATAATTATATAGATTTACAAAGCTGCCATTTCTCACCGTGGCTTTTAAACATCCCAAAGTCACAGTTCCTTCGGATACGAAGAAACTGTACTGATGTAACAACATATAATGTTCAAGCAAATAAATTGAAAAGCCGCTTCTTAGAAAAGGGATACAATAATGATATCTTGCAAAGTACAATAGAAGAAATAAAATCTCAGGAAAGACCAAAACTTTTGGAGTATAAGAGCAAAAATGCCAATACAAATCAAAATATTCCCTTCCTATGTAACTTTAACTCGAAGAGCAAACAAGTTAGACGGATTATTACAAAATTTTGGCCAATATTGAGGGCTGATCCCATATTGTATAATTTATTACCAGAACAGCCAAAAGTCATTTATAGGGGAGCCCCAAATCTGGCATTAAAACTAGTTAAAAACCATATAAAAAATGACAATAAGCCAAAAACCTTTTTACATAAAGACGGCTTCTTTGGATGTGGGCTATGTATATCGTGCAGACGGACAGGGAGTAGCAAGAGAAGCGTGACCACCTTTTTACATCCTCAGGGGAAAAAGAAATATAAGATAAAAAATATGATTACGTGTTATACTAAGCAAGTCATATATGTACTTCAGTGTACATGTAATTTATACTATGTAGGAAGAACAAAACGTCCATTATATATAAGGATAAACGAACACGTTCGCAATATCAAGAAAGGATTTATGCAACATAGTGTTTCGTCTCATTTTAAGGAACATCACGGTTGCGATCCACAATTCTTGACTTTTTTTGCTATTCAAAAAGTCCACCCCAATTGGAGGGGTGATGACATAATAAAGAAATTGGGTCAGGCGGAGATGCGGTGGATCTTTGATTTGGGTACTCTGGTCCCGCATGGTCTCAATGTGGACTTTGAGTTGTACCATTTCTTGTGACCCACTGTGCCTCTGCCTGATCAAATTCAGGTTAGAAGTGACCTATTAGATCCCTGTTAAAACCTACACTTAGTCAAAAGGCTTATTATATCTGTGTCAGATCCATATTGAATTAAATTTTTTTTTTTCTGATCTAATATTAGGGATTTTTGCACTGTACATGGCTATACATTGGACATTTTTCCACATTTTTTTTTTTATTATATATAGTGAGGTATCATACATATATATTGGTGAAGTTTGGAGTCACATCTCTTCATTATTTTACATTAGCCTGATTTAATAACTTTTTATTCATTGATGTTATATTATCTTTCTCTCCTCCCTCCTTTGACTTTGAGCGAAATTCGCTATAGTATTGTTAAGTATGATGGGATTGCCATTTCTGCTGTACCGGAAGTGACCAAACAATGCGGCCGCAATGCATTTTTGGAGATGTAGTTCTGCCCATCTGTAGATGATTCAATGCAGTAATATCATTGAGTTAAGCTGTGAAGGGGAGGAGTCAGACACAAGGACGCATTCTGATAGGATCAGAGTTGAAGAGGAAGTCTCATACTGATGATGTAAATACTGGAACCAGGAAGCAACACCATGCCGATTGAAAAAGCCTACAGGATAGGTGAAACGTGTTTCGGAAGGATCCAAACGGACTTTTTTATATATTTTTCTTTTATTTGTATTTCATGTATTTTTATTTGCATTTGAATTGCATTCAATTTTAATTTTAATCATATTAAATAGCACTTTTTTGTGCATTTCCGTTTAACAAGTGGATCCAGTCTTTGGTGTTGCCCAGGTTCAAGAGGGGGTTGTCACCCTTTATTTGACACAAACGTTTGAAACTCAGAGCCAGTTTGGAAGGCTCTGAGTCAGGTGAGCAATTTTATATTATCTAGAATTGTGTTTTTAAACCTGCAGATCTCACTTAGAGATCCTTTTCTTTCCTTTCTCCATCATACATATTGGAATTGTGACCGGGGAAGAGATCCAGAAAAAGGGGGTGTATGTTACCCTATAACATACCAGCCGGAAAGTTTAGAGCCTGTTTCTAAAAAGGCTCATTACCATGTGAGTGTGCCATTAAGTAGATAACTCCAGTTTGTGGTTTAAAACAACCCTGCACTATATATTCTCTACTTGTGTTTTTTCATATATGTCCAACTAAGTTGAACCACCCGATCAATATCAACAGGGTGAGTTGACTTTATTTTAAATTAGCGCTGCACTTAAACTGCACGGAGTGGAGACGATTTTTCTTAATTTCTATCTTCTCTGTGTGTCTTGTTCTGCTTTTCAAACAGTGGGTGATTTTTGGAGCATCCACAAAGTGTTCTAGCTGCTACTGTCTAAAATTACCACTAAATAATAAGCGCCTGTAATTCACACATTTGTTTTTTCCTTGAAATCTCCATGTGGCACATACAAGTACACGTATCTGTTGCATCAGGTTACATATATCTAAGTGACTGTCATTAATGTACTGAGCATGTGCAAGAACTGAAGCCGCATTCCATTCTCCTAATTAGCCATGTTGCCTGCCCATATAAGGTGATCTTGTATAGCCAGTTTGTTGATTGGTGTAAGGGTATGAATGGGGGATGCATAGGTTATAAAAATCATCTACACCATGTGTTCAGGGCTTAGACATTTTGAACAGGAGTTCAGCTGAGACCCGATCCGTGAGAATAAAGACCTTTACTTCCTGAACAGAGCTGCGTCTGACTCTTTGTGCTTGGCTTCTTCAGTATTACCCGGTAACATGTCTACAAAAACTTAGGTATGGGTTGTGCTTTAAACTAAATACATATACTGTTTTGCTGGGTATACATACACGTATATACCTTTCAATATCAGTATCCTCTAGTGTCTCTGGAGCTGCCCAAATGTGGCACTTCCACCCAATGAATAGACTGGTTACCCTGTTGTGAATGCATACTAGGCTGACTGCTAATTACACTGGCCTGCCCACAAACAGTGGGCCACTTAAAGTGTGTTACAGTGTTCTCTGCATGGTAAAAGTGTCCGTAAGGTAGTGCGAGTGCTGTCTAATGATGCACTCAAGTTATGCTTTCTGGTGTCTGGCTTTTGGGGACACCTGGGAACAAACTTAAGATGGTAGAACAGGACTCTGAAATAATTAGGAGGCCTGCATGTAAAGTATTTCTCTAAAGGGGCCAAAATCACCCCAGAGATCATAGTGCAGCAAAATCATGCTGAACAGAAAAGAGCAGCAGAGGTATGTGTGTTTGTTTTGACTTACATCGGCAGGATTATTCACCCTAGCTAAAAATGCTAAAGCAGAGAAGAGACAGGTCAGCTTTTATAAATGTAACAGATTGTGAAAGTTTCAGCATACTTTTGATCAAGTAAAATAAAATGAAACGTTAAATAAGTCCTGTTTGTTCAGTAACAGCAACAACATGCTAAAGTTTCCTGCTTTTGGCTGTAATGAGGACAGTTTTCCACAATATATTAGAAATTGCACTTCAAATTGATAAATATGTAAAAATGTCTTGTGTACATATATACTAATTTGAAGTCCAACTACCAACATATTGTGGAATACAAAATGTTGACATTAGTTAGTTAAGCAAACTAACAATATTCACATCTGCAGAAAAATATGCAGACACAACGTGCAGCCCGAAATCAAGCATCCTTAAACTAAACACAGTCGATTTATTAGCATTCTAGAACAGAGCGCATGGATATATAATTTAATTTTTATTTCGTCTTACTTACACTCACCTCTCGGTTCTAAAATGGAATTCACCACTGTAACAGAACATTCCACTACGCCTGCACATCAGCCACCGCTACAGCGATCTGTCATGCATCTTGGATCCTGGAAGAGCTGTATCTATTACTCCTGTCCTGCCAGCAGTATACTCGATGGTTACAATGTACATGCGCGTTACGTAGCTTTCAGCTGTTCTATCCTATTTCAATACCCGTCAGAGTTCTATATACGTTACTTCCTGTGCGCATATGTGAAAGGAAGTGGTGATATCAGCTGTGCGCATGAGCAATAGGTAGCGGCTAGTTTTCTATCCAGTAGCGTAGACATAGAACACATGTTCCATGTCTATATCCAGTAGTAGAAGGACCGTGGTGATATCACCAGACCATGTGACTGTTTGGTCACATGTACAGAGAACTACAAGAAGCAGCAAAGCGGGAAATCCAAATTAATGCAGTGGACTGAGCTGTGCTGATCTCATGCTGCATAGGTGAGTTTTTGTTTTAAAGAAAACATTGATATTAATTTTACAAAACAAGTTAATTAACAAGACAGCTTGGACATGGAGGTTTGCAAAGCACTGTATAGGAATCCTTGTAAAGGAGAACACTGCAGCCATTGCAGAGACTGAACATGGAGAATATTATGGAGACTGAAGAAGAAAGGGATCTTTAAGAGGTCACTTTTTTATTTCATAGTTATAAAGTTTTTGACAGAAAATGATGCAGTTCTGTTAAAACCTGTCTTTTAAATCTTATTTTTGTCTTTAATTGCAAATATTAATCACTGTCCTATTATGTTTTACAGAATGCATTGATTATAATGTGACATATAGTTGTCTCTTGCCCCTCTCTCTCTCCCAACTCTCTCTTTCTTTGATAGCATGATATATTATCCCTTTCATCGCCACTCGCTGTGAGTGCGTCTCTCTCCCGTCCCCTCTGTGTGAGTGGGTCTCTCTCCTGTCTGTCCCCTCTGTGTGATTGTGTGTTGCCATGGCAACACTCCTGACATGCATTACATCTCACTGGCTCACGAGAAGATGCTGCAGGAGGTGCAAGATTACACTCCTGGGTCCATTTTTCACAGGACAAAGCATGCTGTTCTACCAGGGAATTAAGTGTACCCCCCCACCCTGACCACAGGTGGGGGCGGGGTAATAAAATTAATATAAATATTTAAAAAGATTTGCTCCCCTCACAGCCCTTATCCAACCCATTGGGTCTCCCTCCCCCTTCCGATGCTCTTCCTCTACTAAGTGTCTCGAGGGGTCGAGTGTCATGGTTCCGCAGGATTCTGTCGGCGTAGCCGCACAGAAACACAGCGGTCACCCTGACAGAAATAAATACTTACCTTGCTCGTGGCAGACCACTACCCAACCTCCATCTGTCCCGGCCCCCAGCGTGTGGTCGCTGCGGTTCCAGTTTTAATGGGGATATAGCCTTTGCCCACATTAAAGATGGCGCTAACATAAGTGTGTTGTCACGTTATAGACGTACACGCACGTTTTGAGGTCAGAGGTCACGTATAGCCTCTCAGTTCCCTGTCGTGGTTTCCCTTCGCTGGTTATCCGAGAGTGTGTTCCTGATCATATTATTCTGGCTTTTGAATTTGGCTTTATTTTGACTTCCCTGATTTCTGGCATCCTTGACTTTTTGGTTTTCCTCATCGTTGTCTCCTTCTATATCCCTGAGCTCGGTAAGTATTTTGACTATTCTTGGATACGTTAAGTCCGGCCATTCTAAGGTCCGGTTAGACGTATTCCTTAGTCCTAGGTGTGATACTATTTCTGCGTGCTGGATCAACTAGTAATCCTGATATTACGACAGGGCCATAGACCCTGCAGAATTGTGTCAGCATATGGCAGCTTGCGAGAGAAAGCTAGCGGAAAGTGATCACTGTGACGAGACCAATCTCGCCACTGTGCATTGGAGGAGCCTGGTTGCCTGCCTGCTGCCTTTTGACTATGGACCGGCATTTAAATACTTTATTTTCCTATGCAGAAAGGTCTATTCATGTATTTCTGCCCTGGCGTTCGATAGATTCTCGGATTTACTGAATGAACTCATTTAACCCAGATAGCACTGCCATGGAGCCTATTCGTGTAATAAAAGACTTTGGCTCCATGGCAATTGAACTGTATGTGTGTGGTCTGAGCGCCATTCAGTAATAATGTGCACTCAGACATAAGCATCAGAGCCTCAAACGATACAATTGTATGCCTTGAAGACCTAGCCATATTTTAGCAGATGCTAAAAGACAGAGAAAAGAAGAAATTACTCCATTGACACTGATTTAATTTTTCTCTGTTTTAAAAGGGACTGTATATACCTGTTGGGGACCAGGAACCAGACAGGGACATAACTAGATGCACCGTTATTAATAAATAGAAAGTAACGTAATAACCAAAAGCAAAGTCCAGGAGGCAAGCAGGGGTCAGGCACCAAAGCGGGTAGTCAGACGAGCCAGGATCAGGAGAACGGAGAGCAGCGAAGTCAGGAACAAGGCCAGAGCCAGGAACCAGGAACAAGGAGACTTCTGGGGAACAGTAAACCACGCAAGGGCAAGGAGGTACTGGGATTTGCTGCTTAAATAGGCTGCCTGATTAGCAGCAGGGCTGGTTACTACTGTGAGTAACCGTGGCAACATACTGAAGGAGCTGATCGTTAATCTCAGCTAAAAACTCAGACACAGAAAAAGGAAGGGGAAGAAACCCTGACAGTACCTCCCCCCTCCATATCTGCTGGTTGGTCCAGGCTTCATGGGGAAGCAGGTGTGATAGAAACGAAGGAACATCAGAGGCTGGAACCCAGGAGCGTTCCTCTGGACCGTACCCTTTCCAGTGCACCAAGTATTGGATCTGTCCGCTGAACACTCGTGAGTCAATGATGCTGCTTATTTCATATTCATCGTGATTATCAACCAGGACGTGGACGTAGCACTGAGGTGGTGTAACGATTACATACCAATGGTTTCAAGAGGGAAACATGGAATACATTTGAGATGCGCATATTAGCAGGAAGGTCAAGTGCATGAGCTACAGGATTAACCCTTCGAAGTATACGAAATGGCCCAACGTAGCGGGGTGCCAGTTTTTGTGAGGGAACACAGAGAAGTACGTTTCGGGAAGACAGCTAGACCCTCTCTCCGACCTGATAGGTAGGCGCAGGAAGGCATGTGCGGTCGGCCTGGAGTTTGTAGTTCTGCATTGCGCGTTGCAAAGAGATCTGAACATGCACCCAAGTGGAACAGAGTTCCCTGAGATGTTCCTCCAATGCCGGTATTCCCTGTGGCATGAACGTATCAGGCAACATGGACGGTTGAAACCCATAGTTCGCCAAGAATGGGGATAGCCGGAAAGAGGCATTAATCGCACTATTGTGGGCAAACTCCGCCCAGGGTAGCAGATCAAACCAGTTCTTCTGGTGGTCAGAAATGTAGCAATGCAGAAACTATTCCAAGGCTTGGTTAGCTCGTTCCGCGGCACCATTGGATTGAGGGTGCTAGGCAGAGGAGAAGGGAAAACTGAATTCCCATTTGTGTACCAAAAGCTCTTCAAAATCTGGAAACGAACTGGCTACCCCTAATTGAGATTATTACTTTGGGTAACCCATGCAAATGAAAGACCTCCTGAGCAAAAATTGTTGCAAGCTCTTGAGAACTTGGTAGTTTTTTCAAGGGGATTCAATGCGACATCTTAGAAAATCCGTCAACAACCATGAGAACAACTGTATTGCCATGGGAGACTGGAAGATCTATGATAAAATCCATGGACAAGTGAGTCCAGGGTCATTCACCATTAGGTATGGTTTGCAGGAGACCCACTGGAGGGTGTCGTGGGGTTTTATTTTGAGCGCATACAGGACAGGCAGTTACAAAAGCGGTGACATCCAAACGGAGACTAGGCCACCACAATTGCAGAGAGATGGACCAGATTTACTGGTTTTAGCCTGGATGTTCAGCTGCTTTGGGGTTGTGATATGTACTTAATAATTTAGTACGGAGATGAATAGGTACAAAACAACGGACATTAGTTTTCTCTGGAGGAGCATTAATTTGTGCAGCCAGAATCTCCTCGCTTAGGGGTGAGGTGAGGTTAGTACGGATGGTGGCCAGTATACGGTCCGGAGGAATCACAGGAGTAGGGGTTATTTCCTCTCTAGGTGTAGGAGAGAACTGTCGCGACAAGGCATTAGCCAGAGTGTTTTTAGTACCGGGCAAATAAGAAACCACATAATTGAATCTTGCTAGGAAGAGAGCCCATCTTGCTTGCCGGGGGGAAAGCCGTTGGCTTCGGAAAGATGTAAGATTTTTGTTTTATGTGTGGATGAGAATTGGCACTGAAGTGCCCTCAAGGAGATGCCTCTGTAACGGCACCCTCAGCATAAAAGGGTTAAACCGCCGTTTAGTAGATCTTCCCCTTCCAGAGATACAGGCACAGCTACTGCAAAACACCAAACTCCCGAACCGCATATAAGGGAATGCTCCAAACTCCCGAACTGCATACAAAATAACACTCCCGAAATGGAACCTCACGAATAGCTGCTAGCAGACGAATAGGAAAAGCACCCAAGCAGCTTACACTCCTAGCAATCAGTCTCTATCAGCATACAGTAAATCTCCCAAGAACGAGACAAGGCTCCGTGTTGAGGGTCAAGCAGTGGTCTGTTTAATGAGGGCTACCTGCCCGGTATTTATTCAGGTCTTCCACCTGGTGGACACTCCCCTATGGGACCAGATGGAAGACTGGGACACAAATAGTAAAATGACCAATCACAGGCATACATGGTTAAACATTCCCCCAGTACGTTACAATCCCTCCCCTCTATCCTGGAGATAATTGGGAAGTAATCCAATTATCTCCAAGGACAGAGGCAAAACTCCATTACCCACATGGTTCAAATAAAACACTAAAATACACAACATTAAATTTGTCACACAAAATATATACATGTAACCTATCCCCAGATAGCTGGGATCTGAGCGCACAAAAGTACCGACTAGCGCTCAGATCCTATGCACACAGTCCAATCGCCGTGGAGTTAGTGTTCACAAAGTCTGTTCTCCATACAAATAGACTCCACGGGATGGCTATCTGGGGTATTGCTGTTCATACGGTTAAATGACCGAATGGACAGGCATCCGGTTAAATGACCGAATGCGGAAGCAAGGAGGCTGACGGCTCAGCGGTGTTTGCGCAAATAAGTGTCCGTTTCCAGTTCCATAGTATTGAACGGATCTGGGTGAATTTTGGATATGTGGTTCACCCAGATACTTTTATGGGGCTACTGCATGTTTTGGGGTCCCTGTGATATGTTTTATAATACTGTATTTCTCTGCCTGTGATAATTATATTAACCATTGTGTTCAGTAATCATATCACAGGCAGAGGGGAGGATTTTGTGTGGGAGTGTCTGTGTGTATTGTACGGATTGATTGGGTGTTTTTCAAAACCCTGTGGGCAGTACTACGTTTGTGGATTGGGAATAAAAGAGGCTGTATGTGCCAGTACAGGCAGTTCTGCTTGATCTCAAAACGAAGTGTCGTCTCGTTATTGGGGGAATTGGATTGTATGCTGATTGCTAGGTGTGTAAGCTGATTGTGTGCTTTTCCTGTTCAGCTGCTTGAGAGCATTTGTATGCTTCTCCGGTTCTGTAGTTGTGGTGTCTGCTGCAGTGCTTGGAGTCCTCAGGAAGAGCTAAAAGCATCCTTCAACAGAGGTACCCAGTCAGGGTGCCAGGTGATCCGTTACAGGCGCCTACTCCTGTCTCAGACGCATCGACTTCAAGAATGATGCCAGTATTGGAGCTGCAGCAAAGGCGACTTTGAGAGACTCAAAGTTAGTAATGGCATGCTGTGACCAATGTTGTGGATCAGCATCTCTCCTGGTGATATCCGTGAGAGGTTTAACCAAGGAACAAAAGTTGCGTGTGAACTTCCGATAATAATTGGCGAAGCCATGAAAACGCTGTATAGAGCAAATACCCGTAGATCGAGGCCACTGTAGTACAGCAGAAAATTTCTCTGGGTCCATAGAGAATCCAGCATCTGAAATAACGTAGCCCAAGAATGTGACCTGTTTGCAGTTAAACTCCAATTTACAGAAAAGATTGTCTCTGTAGAACACGAGAAACGTCTGCATGATGGTTCTCGAGAGATGTGGAATGGATAAGTATATCGTTGAGAGAAACCACCACACATTGCTGCAGCAAATCTTGCAGGACATCATTTATAAATTCCTGGAAAACCGCTGGAGCATTGCAAAGACCATAATAGGCACCATGGATTTGTCCTCATATATCTCTGGGTCTGCAGAAAGATCACCCAAGATCTGCCCCTGACAGTATCTTGGGTACGGGCATTTTACCGGACGAATCGGACTTTAACAGGTGACCCTGGTGTCTGCAGTATAGGCATAGACCCTACCTCCTCCTAAAGGCTCTCTCCTCGACAGAGCGTCATGAGAAGCCTAACCGTCGTGGCTTCACACCAACAGAGGACTCAGGACCAGGAGGTGAGGGAGGCTTGGGTGGACAAGAAAATCTTGATGCCAAATATACAGGAGGCCTCCGCAGGCCATTCCTGAATGAGGATCTCTCTCGGAGTCTGATATCAGTGAGGATGACAAAGGATATCAGTTCCTCGAGATCTTTAGTTAATTATCTGGCTGCAATCTCATCCTTAATAACATCGGAGAGCCCATGTGAAAAGGCAGCCACGAGAGTCTCATTGTTCCTGCCACCCTTTGCTGCCATGGTACGGAATTCACTGGCATACTCGACAATTGTTCTTGTGTCCTGTGCATTAGACATGAGTTGTTTGGCAGCAGAGGTGGAGCAAGCTGGAATATCAAAAACCCTTTTAAAGGACGCAACAAATTCAGGGCAATTGTAAATAATGCCTCCCAGAGAGGTTTTGCCCAAGCTAGGGCTTTTTCAGACAGCAAAGAAATCATGAACTGGACTTTGCGTCTGTCTGTAGGAAATGCCTGGGGAAGCATTTCAAGGTATCCTCTAACCTGGTTTACAAATTCTTTGCACTGAGCTGGGTTCCCCCCAAAATACTGAGGGAGCGGGACAGATCCAGTCATTCCTCTAGCCACAACAGGTTTGGAGGCTACAACCGGTGTTAGAACACGAAGTGAGGCAGAGGCGGCCGCAACCGCAGGCTGGCTGGGTGCTGGATCCAGATGTGCATTACGAATCCGGAGGGTCTGGAGAGCCTGTGCACAGTGGTTCTGTTGGTCCCACCGAGTAACTAGGTTAGGTATAGGTGTATTGCCTGTACCTTCAGTATTCATGGCCCTTGCGTAATGTTAGAGACCAGGAACCAGACAGAGACAGAACTAGATACAAAAACACATTTTATTAATAAATAGCCAAAATCAAAGTCCAAGAGGCAAGCAGGGGTAAGGCACCAAAGAGGGTAGTCAGACGAGCCAGGATCAGTAGAACAGAGAGCAGCGAAGTCATGAACAAGGCCAGAGTCAGGAACTCACAGGACAAGGAGATTTCTGGGGAACAGTAAACAGGGCAAGAAGGTACTGGGATTTGCTGCTTAAATAGGCTGCCTGATTAGCAGCAGGGCTGGTTACTACTGTGAGTAACCGTGGCAACCTACTGAAGGAGCTGATCGTTAATCTCAGCTAAAAACTCAGACACAGAAAAAGGAAGGGTTGCTGTTTAAAACAGCAAAGAAACCCTGACAAATACCTTATTCTGTTTCTGTTTTGTATTTCCTCAGATGTTTGCGTCCTGAGGCCGCTCTTTGAGGGGGTTATATCTGGTTCCTATCCTGACAAGCAAGACTTCTTTCAGTTGATACTGTTTTCTTTAAAAACAAAGTTCCTGCACGGATTATAATTTACCACTAGTGGCCTCCCTTTCCTCTAGTTTGACCACTCACTTTATTGCTCACCTGCCTGGACTAAATTAGGTTCCTACAAAAGGTAACGCCTAACTCGACACTTGCAAAACCAAAAAGAATGTAGCGCTTAAATGGTAAATAAATCACCTTTGATTTGACTTGGAAGGAGGATTTCCCCTTGTGTGCTCAATATGTACAGGTATCTACAAAAGATAATCTAACATAGTGTAGGTCACATATAGCAAGATAACACACTTATTATTACAATCTGTATACACTCACAAACGGAGAGCTATAGACCTAGCTCTGGTTTGAATCAGTTCTGGGCCCGTTTAGGCGACCCACCCCTATTGCCGGTATAGAACAGATTGAGTATACTGTGGAGGGAATAGAACTTCTACTTAGAAACAATTTTTTGTGGTATAATGATACCTTTTTTTTTTTTTTTTCAGGCAAATGGGATGGCCATGGGGACCAAATTTGCCCCCAGCTATGCCAACTTATTTATGTCATTTTGGGAAGAATCTTTTGTTTATGGTGGGCATGGCTGGTGTGACAGCTTGGTCCTCTATGGCCGATACATTGATGATATTTTATTTATATGGAAGGGTTAAGAAAGCGATTTGGTTATGTATTTAGAATTTCTAAATATTAATGATTGGGGCATAAAATTAAGCAGCATTTGGAGCAGAGAACAAGTCACTCTTTTGAAACTTGATATTTATATTGAGGAGGGAGAAATTAGAACTAGAAATAATTTTTTAAAAAGTGGATTGCATAGCTTAATCGAGAGTGTAAGTTGTCGTCATTCTCCGTGGCTGGAGAACGCCCCTGTAATTGTAGCGATCTGACAAATTATGATGAACAATCAGCACGTATCAAAGCAAATTTCATCACAAAAGGTTATGATACATCTAAATTAGAAAATTCTAGAATGGAGGTTAGGAGTAGGGAGAGAAATGATTTACTATCTTATAAAAATAAAACTAGTAGGGATACACAAAATATTCCCTTTATCTGTAATTACAATATGAATCATTATCAAATAAGACAGATTATTAAAAGGTATTGGCCAATTTACTGCAAGATCCAATCAAATCCTCCCAGTTGAACCAAGGATAATTTTTTAGAGGAGCAAAAAATCTTAAGAATTCCTTAGTGCGTAGTTCTCTTAAAGAACAAAGTCATACCTCAACTATATTTAATAATGAAAAAGGTTTCTATGGCTGTGGACAGTGTGCAGCCTGTAAGAAGTCGGGATGTACCGAAGAGTGGTTAAGGACATAACCACTAATAACAACAAAAAAGTTCTGATAAAAGAATTTACTTGCTATACTAAAAATTGTAGTGTATCTTTTGACTTGTCCATGTGGATTAAGGTATGTGGGTAGAACAATTAGACCCCTACATACCAGAATAAGAGAACACATTTACAAGATCCAAACGGGTTTTGAAAAACACAGCATTTCAAGACATTTTAAACAATTTCATGATCAAAGACCGGAGGGTTTAAATTTTATAGGGATTAATAAGGTGAACAAAAATTGAAAAGGTAGGGCTTTCATCAGGGACCTGGGTAAACGAGAGATGGAATGGATCTATAAGTTAAATACACTGATGCCCCATGGTCTGAATTCCGATTTTGAGTTGTGCCATTTTTTTATATATTTTTTTTAGAATTACATGAATTTGCTTCTTATGAAGATTTTATATCCTTCTGTAAATCTTTGTCTCCCCCTAGTGGGAGATATGTATTGGTGTTTCTATGAATAGGTTTGTTTAGCACAGTATTTTATGTCATACTAATTCTGTATTTTAAATTACAGGCTAAAGGTTCAATTACCTAATGAACCTGTGATTTGAAGGGAACTTTATATTTTATTACATATGAGCTGAATATAGATGCGCAGTAAAAATAAATTTACAAGAGAAGAATTGTTACAAAACGAGAACTGTTATGTTCTATTTCCATTGTGAATTAGAACCAGTTCACCTGGGTTTATTGAACAATTCTAGATAGGGAAGTTTATAGCAGGAATAGAGTGCTATTTATAAATTGTCATGTTCCTAAGAATGATTATCTGATATTTTGGTACTCAATAGTCTATGATGAATAGAGGTAAACTCTAAACATGTTTAGATCTATTAGGAAAAAGAAATAAACTTTTTATTAGAATCATGTATATTGAGCAAAAACTAGATAGTGTTATCTTTGTTAAAGAACTGATATTGTGTTTTTTATTTGTTCTCTATTTTTCCTCGATACATTTATGGACTAATATGGGCTTTTATCGTAATGTTGCATGGATACTTAAATGGAAAATTGAAATATGAACCCGTTGAAACAAAGAAACATTTTAAATGAGGAAACAATTGTATCATATTTGGGACATTACGTTGGGGAAAAAACCCATCTGAAACGAAAGGAGCCGAAAAGAATGATGGTGTCTACATCCCTGGCTCCCCCTGGTAGCCGTGTGAGAGGGAGGCATGGACCGCACACGTGGTACCTGTGGGTGGTACAGGCTTGTGATGCAGGGAAACCAAGGACACAGAACTATTTTACCCGGTTGAGGAAGCCACATTATTGGTGGCGAATTCATTCCGGATTGCATATTGATGCTTTTTTATTTATTGTTTTATACATTGTCACAATAAATTTTGAATTTATTTATTTAATATTGATCCTGATTTCCAGTACTTCAACTTGCACAGAAGGGAGTGTAGTCCCAAATCTGCACAAAGTCTAGCAATTGAGTCATTACTGTATGACTCCAGGCTTGTGAGTACCCATTTGGATTTATATTTATAATACATACACTTCCTACAATACTGCGCAATCATTGGTGTTTTTATCTTTGACATAGGACAAGACCTATACCGGCAATAGGGGTGGGTCGCCTAAATGGACCCAGAAGTGATTCATACCAGAGCTAGGTCTATAGCTCTCAGTTTGTGAGTGTATACAGATTGTAATAAGTATATTATCTTGCTAAATGTTACCTACACTATGTTAGATTATCTTTTTGTAGATACCTGTACATATTGAGCATATAAGGGGAAATCCTCCTTCCAATTCAAATCAAAGGTGATTTATTTATTTACTATTTAAGCGCTACATTCTTTTTGGTTTTGTGTTTGTTGGTGATGTAAGGGATCGCTTGAATGTATAGCAACTGATAAAAGTTTCTTAAAATCAGATATATTGTTGTAACGGCTACCCAGGTAGTAAGAGGGTATCAGCCGTTGGAGACGTCCTTTTCATCCCGGCAAGTCGCTGAATAGTAATGGAGACTTTACTCCCATACACTGGATCCAAGGCAGGAGTCAGGTAGAGCTCTTAAAAGAGCTGAGTGATTATGCTGCATATTCCCTTTCAAGGTTACGTTTTGAAGGGTCAAGAAGAACTGTCTAAAACTTTTACTTGGGACTAGCCCATATGCTCATTACATTAACATTGATGTGAAAACTCAATAAAATCACAAACAGTCAAACCATAGCAGACAACACACAGTGATTTATTACAACACAATGGCACATTTTTAAAGGGGTTGGGGAGACAATATTTAACAGAAAAGATCTCACATGTCTGCAGAATTAGCAATATGCAAATCTACCCGAATATGCAAATGAACCAGTCTTGCTATTCAGGTAGTGCATATTGCTGTTAATACCAACAGAGGGCACTAGACAAGCTCCATAGCCAAACCCACCTAGTTGGTAGCAAACCTCAGCAGTACAGGAGAGCAGGCAATACATTACACAGTACACACACACACTATAAACAATTACATTACACACACCCTGCACCTATGGGTACAGGGTGACTAAAACATAAGAGAAATAAAACAACCTACATAAATAGTCTGTCTGAAGGTAGAATAGGGGCTTTAAATCCAAATACATCAAAGAGTCATAGTTACAGGGGAGGAGGCTGGTAAGCAGGCCTCTCCAGGACCAAGTGGCGAAGGGCACTTCGTCACATATCTCCCCTTCGGGGGGAAGACTAACCAGGCACCTGACTTTCTGTCAGTCAGTGCCTAAGTTAGTCGATTCACCCACCGACCATAAGCAAGTGCCAGAGTAGCCCACCCACAACAAACCGTTATTAGAGAAGCCCACCCACAGCAAACAGTGACTGCACCTGGGTATTCCTCTGGGGTGATGGGGCAGCACGCTGTGGGGACTTGAGGGGCAGAGGCCAGCGGCGCTCTGCCCTGATGCCAGCTCTTCCGCTGGTATAGCCTGCAGGACATCATGCTCTGGAAAAGGGGCAAAGGGAGGGAGGCCAACTGCACTCTGCCTAGCTGCCAGCTCTTCTGCTGGGGTGCTTGGGACATAGTCCGGCTCAGTAGCCAGGGGGACATGTGGGTCAGTGGGGGTTAACATCTCCTCTGTTAACGCTGGGGCCAAGTTAGGAGTTAGCTGGGGAGGGAGGAATTGGCTTACCTCCTCCTCCTGATACTCCTGCGATAGTAGCTGGGGATCTGGACAGGCTGTCCAGCATCCCTGTGGGTCAGGCACAGAGACCACGGTCCCATCTGCGCCATCTAGAAGATTGGTTTCTCCCCTTGGTAGGGTAAACTGCCGCTTGGGAGAGTAGGGGCTGTGCTCCTCTTCCTGAAACACATACTGCCGCTGGAGAGAGAGACCGACTGTCTCCACTCCCGTAACATTGTCCTGCTGCTGGGGAGAGAGACCAACTTTCTCTGCCCCCTGTAGGACACACTGCTGCTGGGGGGGAATGACGACACCTTTGGCTCCCTGTAACTCACACTGCCGCTGGGGAGGAAGGACGACACCTTCGGCTCCCTGGGACTCGCACTGCCGCTGGAGAGGAAGGGCGGCACCTTCAGCTCCCTGGAACTCACTGAACTGCTGGGGAGAGGGACCAACTCCCTGGGATACATACTGCCGCTGGGGATCTGGGCCGACTGCCCAGCATCCCTGTAGGGCCTGTAGAGAGACCTCGGTCCCATCTCCACCTGCCAGCTGGGTGTCTTCCCAGGACAAGTCAATAAGGTCTTCCATCTCTGGGGCTTGTTGGGACATATGTGGTACAGTACCAATGTCCCCTGATAACAGGCTTGGTTGCTGGGGAGGAGGAACTAAACTCAATGCTTCCGGTGGTATACAGTCAATAAGCCCCATCATGTCAGAGACAGGCGGTGTTATACATTGGAATAGGCAAACGTAATCCTGTTCTAGTTCCCACTCTCGGTTGGCAAGAAAAGATAGATCTGGCTGAATGGCATCGATCTCTGTAAGGTCCCACCATCAGACACCGACAAAGCTTTCATCTACCGCATGTGCTCAAATCTGTTCCATATACTCAATTTCTTAGTTCTCCATAACAACTCAAGTTCAACCAAAGCTGAAGATCAACTACATGAAATGTATAATCACTTCCTGTATAGAGGCTACTCCTCATCTTTGTTAAATACACAATTATCTAAAGCAAAAGAAAATGCAAAACAACTTCATCAGACCTCATTATTAAAAATTAAAATATCTCAAAACTACCATATAATACTCAGTACACAACGGCATCTGAGTTTATATCTAAATCAGTTAAAACACATTGGAACATCTTATCAAGTGATAAGACTTTACCTAATGATTTCAAACAACATCCCATGTTCAGTTTCAACAGAGGTCACAACATCAGAGATTTGTCTATATCCGCAGACCCGAAACAGTTACAAAAAAACCTGTTTACACATAGAACCCTTAAATCTATAGCCAATGACCCGATATTCATAAAACTCCTCTCTGTGTGGTGGAGTCACTAAGAAATATATTGGGTAGATAACCATGCTAAGCTACATTTTAAAATGGAGACATTTAATTTTACTATCAATTTTTATATTAGGATTTATTATCCTGTCCCTCTAACATATCTTCTTCCCTTTAAATAAGTCTAGCCTCCCTATATCATAATAGCCCTTTGTCCATTTTTACCATGGCATAAAGGCAACTTCACTTTATTTCATGGATTATTCCTATTTCTAGGAATGTCTTTTTCACTTTTCACCATTACACCTGTCCGGAACTATTTTACAACAATTGTGTTGTTGATAGGTCCCATGTACGGATGCACCGTTTTGGGAGGGATTAGACAGTTACTCGCTTCCTGCAGCCACTTGGGTTCCAGATTTCATCTTTCATGTTGATGGGATACACACAGATGGAGTAAGTATATTAAGTAATCGCATGCATTTGGTATAGAAGTGATATTGCAATGATTGTAATTTGTCTTGAGAAAGGACCACGAGTGTGTCTGAAACGTTGACGCTGCACAATTAAACTTTTTCGGCAAAGCCAGTAAAGAAGTTGTTGAGAATGTGCATCAAAATGATTAGCAACTAGCACAATCCGATGTGAGGATACAACTGTATATACTGTTATAGTTATACCGGACACTAAGTTGGGGTATTCCCTTTTTTTTTTTTTTTTTAAAGCCTCAGTCGCATTGTTATGGGTATTAATTTGTTACATTTCATTTAATAAACCATTTAGTAAAAAAGCCTTACTAGGTTGTATTAACTGAACAAGAAATTTGAAGATGAGCTACAAATTTCAGAAGAAATTAGCTGTTAAAAGAACAGATTTATAGAATTGCATATCAGCTGGTTTTGCCTGTATTTCACTTTAATTTTCAATTCAGTGGCACATGAATACACCTTAGAGTGTCTGAAGATACTTGTTTGTAAAGAAAGTATACAACAATAATTTAGAGTGTAGCGTTGGTACGCTACCAACACCCTTAACAAATGAACTTGTAATACTGTTGCTAACATTGTTGTTTAGTAATAGCAAGTGGCTGGGAAATTATGAATATAGTACCACTACCCATTTTTTTTTTTCTTTAATACTTATCTCTTTAAACTTGTGTACAAATACTTAGAGTTTAATAGCCATGACACTGTAATTACATTTTCAGTGTTTTTTGAGTAATATTAATTGGTATAAGCATGCTTCACTTGGGTTTTTTATTTTTTTATTTTATCTATTCTGTAAATGAGCAGTTATATTGAGGAAATTAATTTGATCCTAAATAACATTTTAATGTTGTAATAATCTTTTTTACATTTCCTTATACTTAGGTATCACCATGGAAGTACCTGATAACAATTTGGTTCACCTTAATGAATGGCAGAACAATGTGTTTTCTTTGACCACTGGTACCTGTTCATCAAGACAGAAGGCAGATTTGTATCGTGCGCATATTGAAAAGATTCAGTATGCCTGGGCAAATTCTGAGATCTCTGAGGCATCAGCTATCAACCTGTTTAAGAAGTATACTGAAAAGTGTTCTGCAATTATCGACTCAGACAAGGTAGAAACTGGCCTCAATAACTATGCAGGTAGTGTTTTACCTCTATCAAGATGTCAGCGAAATGATAGTGACAAATGGCAGTCTTCACTAAATACCAAAAACATTTTTAAATTTAAGAGTATACAGGACATGACTGAGTCTGCAAGAAAACTCCAGGATTCTTTGCTGACTTTAGCAGATTCCTCAATTAAGTTTAATAATGGGGTCAGTAACTCTGGAAATTCAGTGGTTTTAAGTAGTAACGTCTTAAACTGCTCTGGGCGAACAGAACCACAAGCTGCCTTATTAAAATATCAGATTCCAGAGGGTAACTTTGTTCAGAACACTAAATTAAGTTTTATAAAAGAGACAAATTATACTGCTTTAAATGCCATGGAAACCAGCAAGCGCAGTATCACAACTCCACTATTTGGGAACAATAAAACAGCAATTTCTTCAAAGTTATCTCCTCACTTTGGTTCAGATTTTGCATCTTCTAACATGTCTGTTGGACATTTAAATTCTGGAAAAAGAAAAGTATTTAATTTTTCAGGGGATGAACAAGTGGATACACAATACTTAAATATAGCACCAAAACAACCAGTAGATGGACAAGGAGACATAAATCACATTCTGACAGATGAAAGTGGATTTAAAACTGCTAAGGAACAGTTTTGGGTTGATCAGCAGAAAAAACATGCCCAGCCTCAGCGTAATGCAGGTACTAGTGTGTACTGCAGTGGGAAAAGGTCTTTGGGAGCTGCCCGCGCTCGTGGACCTCATGGAAAATTTGTTCTTCCTATTCAAAAAGATAGTGGGGATGAGAACCAAGCTATAAAAAGGAAAGCATATGGCTCAAGTAATAGTAACTTGAATGTACCTTCGGATGAGCGCTTAAAAAACATAGAGCCAAAGATGATTGAATTGATAATGAGTGAAATTATGGATCATGGTCCTCCTCTGTGCTGGGATGATATTGCTGGGCTCGAGTTTGCAAAAAATACTATAAAGGAAATAGTTGTGTGGCCAATGTTAAGACCTGACATATTCACTGGTCTCAGAGGTCCACCTAAAGGAATCCTCCTTTTTGGTCCTCCAGGGACGGGAAAAACTCTAATAGGAAAATGCATTGCTTGTCAATCAGGAGCCACATTTTTTAGTATAAGTGCATCATCACTGACTTCTAAGTGGGTAGGTGAAGGAGAAAAAATGGTCCGTGCTCTTTTTACAGTGGCAAGATGCAATCAGCCTGCTGTGATATTCATAGATGAAATTGACTCTCTTTTATCTCAGCGTGGAGACGGAGAACATGAGTCTTCACGACGAATTAAAACTGAGTTTTTGGTGCAACTAGATGGTGCAACTACATCTTCAGAAGACCGTATCCTTGTAGTGGGAGCTACTAACCGGCCTCAAGAAATAGATGAAGCAGCTCGAAGAAGACTTGTTAAAAGACTTTATATTCCTTTACCAGAAGATTCTGCTAGAAAGCAAATCGTTGTCAGTTTAATGTCACAGGAACGTAATAGCCTCACAGATCAAGAGGTGGATGCTATAGTTTCACAATCTGATGGCTTCTCTGGTGCTGATATGACACAGCTTTGTCGAGAAGCAGCTCTTGGTCCTATACGTAGCATTCAAATTAAGGATATTTCAACAATCACTTCAGAGCAAGTCCGCCCTATTGTATATATTGATTTCCAAAATGCTTTACAGACAGTGCGCCCTAGTGTCTCACAAAATGATTTAGAGTTGTATAAGAATTGGAACAAAACTTTTGGTTGTGGCAAGTAAAATTATTTGGATTGAATTTAACCAAGTACTCCAAAAGTTCGTACAACTTTTCACTACAAGATCTAAAGAGGGCAGAGTGTTTTACAATGTGATTTTAGCAAAAATGTACTCCAAAACTTGTCCTTTCTTTTTGTATCTATTTTTTAAAAAATGTTGTATCTGTGTTTCAAGAATAAAAAAAGTGTAGTTTTCATTTATCTGTTCAAAAGTGTGTGTATATAATCGGGAAAAAATGGCAGCACTCTTAGGATTCCAAGGATTCATCTTCACTTAACTCCTTCACGACCATGGACGTACCAGGTACGGCCGACAAAAAAACAACTGTTAACAACCATGGACGTACCTGGTATGTCCGTTAGTAAATTCCCACTTACCTGATCACTGGCGATCGCAATCCAGACCCCCTCTGCCTGATCCCGCACTCCCAGGCCATGTGATCCCAGGGTCCTCGCGATCACATGGCCGTGTAGCGAGGTAGTATAATCCACAGTATCTCCGCTGGGTAACAGGAACAGCATAAAATAATCCAGGTAAATAAATACAGCATACAATAATCCTGGTAGCGTAGTAAGAATCCTTCCCTCCCAAGAACTAGACGACACATAGGCTGGGAGTCAACTGAGGTTTTATTCACAGGTCACAGTATTTATGCAAGTCCCCATGCAAGGGGTTTCCCTACTGACATTGCAGGGGTTATACAGTAGGGGACTACATGGGGGACTTAACAACATGGACATTTCTCCCATCATGCACTGCTGGACGAGAGGGATACTCCCACTAGAATATACAGTTAATTAGATTATCCCTCCGTGCAGCAGAACCTATATTTCACAATAAAATCCATAATTTTGACATTATTCACTCTATTTAAAATAAATGGACGTTCGGTAGATAACTGGGGTCTGGGTGTACAGTTCGTGAGAATACCGCTCAGATCCCAGCATAACTAACCGAACGCCGCGCGAAACACACATTATATTCAAAGTAAGGATTGACATTAGGGGAACAAACTACCGAACGGCCTGGAAGTCCAGCAGTATTCGTGCCGCCGAGTAGCCGATTTTAGTTCCAGGCGCTCGACGACCAAATACCGCTGGGCTAACAAAGGATCCCAGATGGCTGACCGCCGCGTGGTCGGTAGCCGAACGACGGCAACCTAGAAAAGCACTTAACTACCGATTGCAACAATGTTGCAATCGGTTAATGGGCACCACGCAACCTCCTGTGTGTGGTCGCCCATGCGGTAGTTTATTCGTTTCACGAACAGTGTTGAAACTACATGCCGCCAGCATACGAATGCCCTTGTTCGCCTGAAATGCAGATACATGAATACACTTGGTTCTAACAGCTTTAAAGGTATAGAAACATATTCATACAACTATAGTCTTAAGTGGCTAGTTTTGCCACAGGGTGCCTGTCTGAGCTCTCAGGTAGTCTCCCTAATGCCTGTACAAAACCTTTCAAAGTTATTAAAAAGTTTAATAAAGTAAATATATGTGTGTGTGTGTGTGTGTATATGTGTGTGTGTGTGTATATATATATATATATATATATATATATAATCTAAGTACTTTTACATACACATACATTAATCATTATTAAAAGTGTATTTTAATATTAATGTATATAATTATATATATATATTAAAATACACTTAGAATAACATTAATTAGCTTAATATAAATATATACAGAGTCCAGTGCACTCGCTTATTCACTAAACAATGATTTCAAATCTTAGAGATTGTAATAGTTTTATGTAAAAACACCTCACCTAGGCAAAAAATAATGGGGGTTTAGTTACATTATATGATCATAAGCCTGCCACAACGTCAATGTACCCCATTCTTGGCAGGTCCTACTCTAGCAGCCTAATGCTTGCTCTTATGAGATTAATCTCACAAGAGCAAGCATTAGGCTGCTAGAGTAGGACCTGCCATAGACGTACCAGGTACGTCCGACAAAAAAGTCCGTTAACGACCACGGACGTACCTCGTATGTCCATTAGTAAATTCCCACTTACCTGATCGCTGGCGATCCCAATCCTGGGGTCTGCCCAGGCAGACCCCCTCTGCCTGAGTGTATTAGGCTGCTTGAGTAGGACCTGCCAAGAATGGGGTAGATAAAGTTTGGCATGTTTCTATGTCGTCTACCTTGTTGGTGGCGTCTTTTGCTGTTTGGTCAGGGGGATGAGTGCTTCAACTTGTGGCCGGGTATTAGGGGTGTTAAGTACCCTACCATTCCAGATATCAGCCATGCACCTGCATAGTGTGTGTTTGTGTAGTGGGTGGTGTGTATGTATAGTGAATGCAGGGTTTGTGTAGTGGGTGGTGTGTGTGTATAGTGAATGAAGAGTGTGTGTAGTGGGTGTGGTGTGTGTGTGTGTAGTGAATGCAGTGTGTGTGTGTTTGTGTAGTGGGTGTGGTGTGTGTGTATAGTGAATGAAGAGTGTGTTTGTGTAGTAAATGAAGAGTGTTTGTGTAGTGTGTGTATAGTGAATGAAGAGTGTTTGTGTAGTGGGTGTGGTGTGTGTGTGTATAGTGAATGAAGAGTGTGTGTTTGTGTAGTGGGTGTGGTGTGTGTATAGTGAATGAAGAGTGTGTGTGTTTGTGTAGTGGGTGTGGTGTGTGTGTATATAGTGAATGCAGAGTGTCTGTGTGTTTGTGTAGTGGGTGTGGTGTGTATATAGTGAATGCAGAGTGTCTGTGTGTTTGTGTAGTGGGTGTGTGTATATATAGTGAATGCAGAGTATGTGTTTGTGTAGTGGGTGTGGTGTGTGTGTGTATATTGTGAATGCAGAGTGTGTGTGTTTGTGTAGTGGGTGTGGTGTGTGTGTGTTTGTGTAGTGTGTGTAGTGTGTATGTATATAGTGAATGCAGAGTGTGTGTGTTTGTGTAGAATGGTGTGAATATAATGAATGCGTTTGTATAGTGAATGCAGTGTGTTTGCGTAGGCATTTAATGTATGTGTAAAATTGGGGGGGGGACACTTTTATTATTTAACATTTTATTTTAGTCCCCCTTCCCTGCTTCCTACCTGACCGGGGAGGGGGGAGATCGCATTCCCTGGTGGTCTGGTGCTGGAGCCAGTCCAGCTCTGACTTCACTTCCCAGCAGCTCCTCTCTCGTGGCCTACAGCCCATGGCAACACTGACGACTGTGGGGCTTGCAGGTGTTGGAGACAGAGGAGCTGCTGGGAAGTGAAGTCAGTGTGTGCTGCTGGGCCCCCTCTGCAACTAATAGGTAGCCGGGGACCCGCAGGTGTGTGTGTGTGTATATATATATATATATATATATATATATATATGTGTGTGTGTATATATATATTTATATATATATATATATTTATTAGTGGTATACACTAAGGGGCACTTTGTTAGAATAGTGGGTGGGGGGCCGCTGGCTGCTCACTGTTTAGTAAACATTCCCCTACTCATGAGTAGGGGAAGAAGGAAGATTGTAATCTCCCTTAATTACTACCATGTTTCCCTGAAAAATAAGACGTCCCCCGAAAATAAGTAAGCCCTAGCTTATTTTCGGGGGATGCTGGTAATATAAGACCTACCCAGAAAATAAGCCCTAATCGGCATTTCTCCAATCTATGTTCGAGGAATTTTTGCTGTCAGGAGAGCAAAGGCTTTGGTTGTGCACAGGGCTGATCTTCAAGCATTTTCACTTGCAACGGCACCACAGTTTGAATTATCCCCAGAAGATTTCAAAGCATCACAACACTGGCTGGATGACTAATAGACATGTGCATTCGTTTTAGGACGAATACGATTTTGTCGAAATTTTCTGACTTTTTCGTATTTGTTTACTGTAATGTTGACAAAAGTCCTACATACTAATTATATGAAAGAACAAATACTGAATGCATTAACTTTTCATTTCATGTCATTTTGTATATTACAAGGAGACGGCTACCGGCAGCTTTATGAAAATAGCAGTGCTCCCGGCTACTTCCTACCTCCTCCCTTGTGCTCCCTCGTCATTCTCTGAGGGTCAATATGACCCCCATATTAGCATAGGGGAGATTCAATTCTCCCGAATGCCCCTACTCGCTATGTGGCGAGTAACAGAAACATAGAATGTGACGGCAGATAAGAACCATTTGGCCCATCTAGTCTGCCCAATTTTCTAAATACTTTCATTATTCCCTAGCCTTATCTTGTAGGTAGGATAGCCTTATGCCTATCCCATGCACACTTAAACTCTTTTACTGTGTTAACCTCTACTAGTAGGGGCATGTCTACTAAAGTGAGCACCTAAAAAAAAAAAAAGCCCCCCCCCCCATTCCCCGAATCAAATAAAGGGGACCTAGCACAGGTCCCCCATGGTGGGGAATCTTCTAAAATAACTATCAGGGGAGGCCATAGTGTCCTTCCCCACCTGTGCCCTGCGAATGGGGGCTATTCAATGGAATGGGGACCTAGGGTCCCCACAAGCCCCCCACCAATGATGGGCGGGTGGGGGCCCTAAATATCAAAAGAGGGGGGGCATTCTGCCTCCTTACGGCCCCAACCAATGAGCGGCGGGGGGCCTATTGTCTCCCCCCAGCCCCCACCCACGAGCGGCGGGTGGGGGTCCTAAGGTCCTAAGTAACAAAAAGAGGGGACCTGTTATTCCCCCGAGCCCCCACCCATGAGCGTCAGGTGGGGACCCTAATTAAATAAATATCCCCTCTGGTCCACACCCATGAGTGGCGGATGGGGACTCTAATTAAATAAAGAGGGGGACCTAATGTTTCCACCCATAAGCAGCGGGTGGAGACCACAAATAATAAAATGACTAGGGTGTCCACAAGCCCCTAGTCACTCCTCCCCCAACTAAAAATACCCTACCTACCTCCCTCACCCTAATAATAGTGAGGGGGGGGGGTGAATAAACTAACACTCTGTAAAATATAATTTCTTCCCATTAGATGTCTTCTTTTCTTTCTTTAGCCCCAAAAAAGGCCAAATAAAAATCCATTATTGTCCCGTCGCAATTGTTAAAATAAACGGAGTGCAAAAAAAAATTGGTCCTCCCCTTATTGTCATTTTGGGACCCCACCCGCCGCTAAAGACATGAAGAACTTAACTGCAGAGAAAAGAATAGATCAAGTAAAGATTCCTGCAGTAATGACTGGCTATCTCCAGACTCTTGATATTGCCATAAATAGGCCATTCAAGAGCCACCTGCGCATCAAAATCAATGAATACATTGAAAAAAGAATGGAGAGAAATCAGCGTGGAAACTTTGTGAAGCCTAGCCTGCAAGAGGTTGTGAAATGGGTGAAGAATTCATGGGAGAAAATCACTGACCGCTGTGTTGCCAATGCACTAAGAGCAGGCTACATGGAAAATAAATACTAATTTAACCCCTTAGTAACCAGATCACTTTTCAATTTTCTTACTGTTTGGGACCAATGCTGGTTTTACATTTCTGTGGTGTTTGTGTTTAGCTCTAATTTTCCTCTTACTCATTTATTGTACCCACACATATTTTATATACATTTTTTCTTGCCCTTAAATGGTCTTTCTAAAAATACCATTATTTTCATCATAAATCATTTACTATCAAAAAATGTATAAAATATGATGAAAAAATTAAAAAATTCACAAACCAACAACACATGGAGAGACACAATTGTATTAAATAACTAGGTGCAAACCATATAAACACTCCCTCAAGTGTTTCAAATATCTATATAATATAGAATGCACACTATAACAATTTCAAAAAACTAGCCTTATTATGTACCAAAGTAAAAACATACAAAAAAAATTAAACACAATGACAGAAGCAAGAGCAAATACAATAATGTAATGGTAAAATACCAAAAAGATTCTTACAAGCCACAAGACAGAAACACGAGTCACCAAACCCTCCAACGTTTCGGCACCAACTGGCTGCCTTTATCAATGTATCATGTATCTATGTTCAGATGTGCCTGATTATACATTATGACTGTGGCGGAACCAACCTCGCCACTGGCCACTGGAGGAGCCTGGTTGCCCACCTCTTGCCGCTGGACCATGGCCCTGCATTAAAAACCTTTTATTTTCCCTATGTGAGCAGTGTTACCCCAGATAGCTAAGCCATAGAGCCCATTCATATACCGAAAGACTTTGGCTCCATGGCGATTGAACTGTATGCATGTGATCTGAGCGCCATCTGAGCGCCATCCGGTAATAATGTGCGCTCAGATCTAAGCTATCTGGGGATAGGTAGAATGTGTATGTTCTATGTGATGAATGTAACAGTATGTAATTTTATGTCTTTTACTGTCTTTTTACTGCCATGTGGTTAATGGAGTTTTGCCTCTGTCCTGTCAGAATATTTATATCAACAGACATTTGGTGCTAAAAAGAAATTAAAAGTGTATATTGCCACAGCCACTCAGAACAAAGCGGACTCCATTTTACTATCTTCAGGATAACAAAAACACATAATTTCCTTGATTTCTTCTTACTTCTGTAACTAGCCACTTGCTTGAGCTGAGGAATGTATTACATAAACAAACCAAGATAAGCAATGAAGCAAGGGGGATGGAACGCTCTGTTTAAAATGTTAAAGGAATAGATGCATTATCTAAACACAGACACTAGTGACAGAGAAGACTAAGTATTTGATTTTACTTTCTAAGTTTTATAAGGTACAATTATAGTAAGGGGTGAAATTGAGTTTAGAACTGTCAATTTTACAAGTTACAATCAAGCAGATGCCACAAAGACTGAAACAAACGCTTTGAACTGACAGCAAATCTAAGTTATGGTAGTCATTTTAGATAAGCCAAATGACGTCAAAATCGTCATCAGGAAAAGTTAACTCTTTCCTGGATAGGAAGGTTTCGTTAGACGAGACTGCCATCTATGGATCAAATACCTAAATTGCGATCCATCGATTGGACACACCTACGGCTGCCTATTGGTTTATCAACTAATGACGTACA